ACAGACAGACAAAGACAGACAAAGACAGGACACAGACACACACACACACACACAAACACACAAACACACAAACACAAACACAAACACACACACACACACAATAAGTAGCTTCAATCCACAGCAGAAAGCACCCCTTTGCAACTCCTAGAAGCTAAGTTTCGAGCCTTGGCCACAGGCGAAGAAGGGCAGCCAGGAGCAACGCAGCATGGCGGCAGCTGGCCTGGCCCAAAAATGACAAAGACACTGTTAAGGAGCGCTGCAGCCAAGTGATGTCGGGATGGCTGGCGAGCTTCCTTCTCCCACCAAGATGCGTGGCCTGAGTCCATGGCAAGCATCTCCAAACCGTCCGAAATTGCCACTGTGCCAGGTCAGCGGCCCCCCTCCTGTCATCATCCGCTCACCGAGCTCCAGAAGCTCTGCATCCGGGAGAGCTGCAAAGTTGCTGGTTTGTGATGGGTGCGACCTGAACCGCCCGTTTCCGCACTCGAACTACAACAAGGTCGGGCATTTCAAGCCCAAGGACGCGGGAAGCTTCTGCGCTTTCTTTTCGGGTGCAAGGCTCCGGCAAAGGCACGCATCCAGCAGGCCGGCTAGCGAAGTCGCCCTCTCTAACGTCAAGAATTGCAACTTCCCCCTGCAACAGGTCAGCAAGATCATGCTATAGAGTGTATGTATACATATATAACGTATATGATACATATACACAACTATCTCACTGTACAGGTGCATATGACTGTACAAACACAACTTTTGCATAATATGACAATCCATGCTTTCACCTCGACTTCATGCCACTGGAGCCCCCAACAAGCCAATCCCAAGCCAAGCCTTTCCCTGGACCTCCATCAAGATGACATGCTTCAGGCATTTTTAGCCGGACGTTTTCTTCATCCTCCTGACGTTTTGTGATGATGACGAAGCTATACGAAGCCTACTGTGTTTGCCTAAATGTGCAACCCTGCCCGCAGTCTCGGAAGCTGCTCTGGCGGAATGCCTGTCGCTGCTCGCCCGTTCTCCCCGCCTGTCACTGCTGCTGCTGCTGCTGCTCCTACCGCCAATCCTCCTCCTCCTCCGCCTCCTCCTCCTCCTCGGACTGGTGATGTCCAGCACGGCTGTCGACGAGACGAAGGTTCAAGGCGCGGCGGGGCAAAATGCTCGGACAGCTCACTGCCTGCCTTGTTCATGAGGATCGCTACCTCGCGCTGACGACAGACCCGAATGCACTGGAGTTGAAGCAAGGCTTCCAGAGCTGCGGCTGCCAGACCCGAACATGACATGTAAATACGTGCTGTATGCGCACTTCTCTAGTAGCCTCAGTAGCCGGCCTCAGAGGCCTCGATGGGAAGAGGCTCGTCGGATCCGATCTGCTGCTTCCGGTGCTTGAAGGTGCCCGCACGCTTGAAGGTGCCGGCCTCGAGCTTCGACTTTTGGGTTCTCGCCTCTTCGCTCTCTTGGGCCCCTTTGTCAGAGCCTGGCCCCTCTTAAGACTGCGACTGCTCTTTCTTTTGTATCGGAATCTTCGAATACGATCCGTCCCGACATGAATCTTCGGCTGAAATGCCGACACCTACCGAGCTTCGTGTGCTTGGTATCTGGCAGCCTCTTTCCGCAAGCGTTCTGCAACCTTGTCGGCCTCTGCTGCTGCCTGCAATGAACACCGTCAAGGACATTTTGGTGTAGGCAGTGGTCCAAGAGGTGCCAAGCCTGCCTCGCGAATTCTGTGCTCACGTGGCCCGAAGAACCAAACAGGCATC